AGCGACAACAAATAGTGCCATGAGAGCCACCAAGCAGAAAGTAGAAAATGTGTATGAATGAATACCAAAGGACAGGTAGGTTAACTCGGAAGATTAGGTTATGGTTTGTGTAGTCTTTAATGTTTTCCACAAATCTTATGGGTTCTTAGCCATCTAAATCCATAACTAACAATAAAGTAGGTTGACGGTAAAGAACATAACTAATACAACTCGGAAGAGAGTATTGGTGAGGTAAGGGAAAACAATTATCAACACGTTAGGTAAATTAGGATTAACAAACTAGAAGGATTTGGGTGGGATTAACTAGGTGAAATCGGTGTCCTAGTGCTTTATCATCCCTGGTTTCATCTTTTACATTATTTACTTACCCTTATTTTACTTTCTCATTTAGATTTTAATCATCATAATTCTCTTATTATTTAATTCAAATATAATTAGAAATAAATCACTCTAGTATTTAATAGATTAACTTGATCCTTGTTGGAACAATACTTTATTTACCACAATATTAATTTGAGCAATATTGTCCACTTGCAATTAATCACATGAATAAAGATCATTCAGGTCTCTCTCTCTAATCAAACTCTCTCAAACTTAATTACATGTGCAAACACAATTACCACACACACTTGATTAATTACTAAGATGCCTATGCTGTTTAAATGATTTGTCAGGTTGTCGTCGTTGCCATAAAAAATAGACGTTTGCCACAGCCAGGGAGCCCTCAAGAACTTTATGAGATCAATAAAAAGAATCAAATTATACTGAAGAAAAAATTGCACACACTGATCAGTTCAGGTGAGACATTACATTAACTCATGCTTAAAGTTCACCAATAATGTCCAATAAACTCACATTAATGCATGCCAAATATATTCAAACAACACTACTACAAAAAGTGAAAAAGACGACCAGAAAAAGACGACGGTAGAAGAAAAAACCGTCGTTGTATTTAAAAAGACGACGATAACAAAAAACCGTCGTGAATAAGTGACTTAAACAACTAAAAACCGGAGGTACTGTTGAATATTTTTTTATAACGACGCACACAAATAAAAAAGCATCATCTTATTAAAAAGGTTTTGTTCAGAGTTAAAATCTGACCAAAAAACAACGACAGCAGGTATCACAAGCGTCGTCTTTTAAAAATCAAGTGTCATTTTTTGGTAAAGACGTGGTTGTTTTGATAAAAACCGTCGTCTATTGTATGTAAAGACGACGCTTTTTATAAAAAAAAACCGTCGTCTATTATATGTAAAGATGACGCTTTTTATAAAAACCGTCGTCTATTATATGTAAAGATGACGCTTTTTATAAAAATCGTCGTCTATCGTATGTAAAGATGACGCTTTTTATAAAAACCGTCGTCTATTGTATGTAAAGATGACTCTTTTTATAAGTCGTCGTCTATTGTACGTAAAGATGACGCTTTTTATAAAAACCGTCGTCTATTGTATGTAAAGATGATGCTTTTTATAAAAAAAGTTGTCTACTATATGTAAAGATGACGCTTTTTATAAATAAAAAAAGGTCGTCTATTATATGTAAAGATGACGCTTTTTTATAAAAACCGTTGTCTATTGTAAGTAAAGATGACGCTTTTTATAAAAATCGTCGTCTATTATATGTAAAGATGATGCTTTTTATAAAAACCGTCGTCTATTGTATGTAAAGATGACGCTTTTTATAAAAAAAAATTGTCTATTGTATGTAAAGATGACGCTTTTTATGAAAACCGTCGTCTATTATATGTAAAGATGACGCTTTTTATAAAAACCGTCGTCTATCGAATGTGAAGATGACGCTTTTTATAAAAACCGTCGTCTATTGTATGTAAAGATGACTCTTTTTATAAATCGTCGTCTATTGTATGTAAAGATGACGCTTTTTATAAAAACCGTCGTCTATTGTATGTAAAGATGATGCTTTTTATATAAAAAAAAAGTTGTCTATTATATGTAAAGATGACGCTTTTTATAAAAACCGTCGTCTATTGTCTGTAAAGATGACTCTTTTAAAAAACCGTCGTTTATTGTATGTAAAGATGACGTTTTTTTATAAAAAAAACCGTCGTCTATTGTAAGTAAAGATTACGCTTTTTATAAAAAAAAACCGTCGTCTATTGTACGTAAAGATGACGCTTTTTATAAAAAAAACCGTCGTCTAACAATTAAGAGTTTATCTATACTTTCGTTAAATATAACATAAGATTTTGTGGTATCCACTAGTGTAAATATTTTAAATTGAAGATCAAATTCAGTCATTGTATTCATATAGGGTCAAGGAGTGTAGTGGTAAAAAATCATCAAAATCGAAGTTAAAATAACCGTTAAATCATGATTTTTCATTTATAACCGTCGAATTTTTTTGACTCATTACTTGATCTCTGAATGTTTATTTTTTCCAATTTTTGGCATAAATGATCTCGAAGTATAAACAAACAATTTTGACGGTTGGATCGTTGAAACTAGTTTCTTAAAATGCGTATGCCATAAAAAAAAAAATATTCACTAACAATTAAGAGTTTATTTATACTTTCGTTAAATATAACATAAGATTTTGTGGTATCCACTAGTGTAAATATTTTAAATTGAAGATCAAATTCAATCATTGTATTCATATAGGGTCAAGGAGTGTAGCGGTAAAAAATCGTCTATTGTATGTAAAGATGACGCTTTTTATAAAACCGTCGTCTATTGTACGTAAAGATGACGCTTTTTATAAAAACCCGTCGTCTATTGTATGTAAAGATGACGCTTTTTATAAAAACCGTCGTCTATTATATGTAAAGATGACGCTTTTTATAAAAAAACCGTCGTCTATTATATGTAAAGATGACAATTTTTTTTAAAAAAAGGCGTCGTCTTTTAAAACACGCTAAAAAATGGCCGCTTAAGTGAATTCACGCTCGACAAATTTTCAAATTTTCACCCGTCTTTGAAAATCTTATCTCTCATTAACAAGCGTCGTCTTTTAAAACACGCTAAAAAAAGTATACTTAAGTGAATTCGCGCTCGACAAATTTTCAGATTTTCCCCGTCTCTGAAAACCTTATCTCTCCCTCCTTGAAACCCTCTTGCACTCTCTAAAACACCCTCATGAAACTCTTTACAAAATCATCAAAAAATCGATATCAATGAAGGAGTTGAGAGATTGAGGTCTTAGCAAATCCATAAGATGTAGAGGGATATTTTGTATTTGAGAATCAAAGCTGGTTGAGGTCTTAGTCTCTTTGCGTTTTTGGTATGTTCTTTGTCTCCCTAATTTCAGATTTTGTCTATCTTGATTTGTCTTATTTGTTTACATTTTTTTTCTAGTTTCTTTTTAGATTTTCTGATTTGGTTATCAGGAGATGAGGAGGAAACTTGCAGATTTATAACTTTTTCTTTTGTAGGTTTTCTATGTGAGTCGTATGTTTTTTTGTTGTTGAAAATTTGCAGGTTCTTGATGGTCTTTTTTATGCTCATTTTACAAGTTTTCTATGGAAATATAGACCAATGGTAAAATTTCTCTTCCACCTAATTTTTTATGTTTATAATCTTAGCTTCTTCTTTTTTTCTCTCTTTGTCATTTTGATTTATTTACAGGGATGATGGAGGAGACTTCAGTTGTGCATCATTTGTATGTTTGGATGAGGAATGCTTGGATTAGGAGTACGTAGGTCTTGTTAGGAATTATGTTTGTTGTATATTAAAGATTGGTTAACTATGTAATAACTATTGAATCTTCAAGTTTTATGAAAGAAACTATTATATATTCATTAATAAAGCATTATGGTTGGTTTTCTAGTTAAAATCATTGTATAGCATCATAGGAAATCAAAAAACATTATTGTACATAAAGATGACGTCTTTTTATAAAAACCGTCGTCTATTGTATGTAAAGATGACGCTTTTTATAAAAAATACCGTCGTCTATTGTAAGTAAAGACGACGCTTTTTATAAAAATACCGTCGTTTATTGTAAGTAAAGACGACGCTTTTTATAAAAATACTGTCCTCTATTGTATGTAAAGACGACGCTTTTTATAAAAAAACCGTCCTCTATTGTATGTAAAATGACGCTTTTTATTAAAAAAACCGTCGTCTATTATATGTCAAAATGACGCTTTTTATATAAAAAAACCGTCGTGTATTGTACGTAAAGATGACGCTTTTTATAAAAAAAACCGTCGTCGATTGTACATAAAGATGACGCTTTTTATAAAAAAACCGTCGTCTATTGTACGTAAAGATGACGTCTTTATAAACAATCCACGACGGTTTTTATAAAAAATCGTCATCTTTACATACAATACACGACGGTTTTATTAAAAACAGTCGTCTTTCCTCATATAATTAACGATCTTTACCTCTAAACAACGACGATTTTCTTTAAAAACCGTCGTCGTTATGGATAAACAACGACGGTGAAAAGCCGTCGTAGTTTGACACCCAAATAGATGTCGGTCGATTTCACGACGGTTTGAAAACCGAATACACGACGGTGAATTCCCGTCGTCTTTGGCCTTTTTTGTAGTAGTGCAAGACTCACCAAACGGCATGCCAAGATTCTTCAACAGAAAATCAAGAAGCACCTTGAGAATACAATGACAAGTTTCTATCAAAGTTTCTGTTAACGTGGGAGGGTTTCCCTTTTGAAGTTGACGTGTTGACCATGATATATATGTTTGTTAATTTGAGGGGTGAAAAAGGATGTGGAGTTTTTGGAAGCTTTTAATAAAAGTTTTTGACTTCAAAGGGTACCAATTAAGCAGATCACTGCACCTTTTGGAAAATGCTTGTCACATTGTAGCTTACAGTACTAAACAAAATTTCACAGAGATGAGGTAATTAATTACTGCATATGCCTATTAATTTTGACCAGGTTTCTAGACGAAGCAGCCATACTTGGCAAAGACACCGAGCCCCAACAATGGGTGGTTTGCACAGTAACACAAGTGGAAGAAGTCAAGGTCCTAACAAGAATGTTGCCCATTCTGTTCAGCACCATCATAATTAATGAACACTTGTTTAGCACAACTCCAAACATTCTCAGTCCAACAAGGGAATGCCATGAACCGCTATATGGGCTCTTTTGAGTTTCCGGGGCCATCAATTCCTGTCATCCCTCTCCTTTTCATGTCCATGCTCATCCCAATCTACTTGTTCTTCTTCATTCCTTTCGCTATAAAGATCACAAACCATCCTGCAGGCAACATGCAGCTTCAATGCATCGGTGTTGGACTAGTCCTATCTACAATTTCATGGCTGTAGCCGGCATTGTTGAAGTGAAGATAAAAAACTAAGTCCACAAGCACATAACAAAGCCCATAAGTCTCTTTTGGCTTGCATTGTTGAAGTGAAGAGAAAAAGCCAAGTCCACAAGCACATAACAAAGCCCATAAGTCTCTTTTGGCATTCCTTCCAATATGCTATCTTTGGAATTGCTGACATGTTCACTCTAGTTGGACTGCTAGAGTTTTTCTACAAGGAAGCACCAGCAGGCACGAAATCTCTCCACTTCATTCCATGGCTGTCACTTGCATTTGGTTACTTCTTGAGCTCCATTGTTTGTAATTGTTAGATAGTTTTGGGTTTGGGACTCAGAATGTGTGGGGTGTAATTATATAGGCATGCATACAGGTTATGAGTTGCTCACACTACTCCTAGCTTGACATGCTTTGAATTGTGAATTTAGGGATGTGTGGATTGGGATTGAGAAGGGCGTTGTGATGATTTTTTCCATCATCCATATCATACAGATGTAATTTAATAAGTTTCCTACTATCTTTTTCATAAATAAAGAAAAGCTGCGTTCTCATATCAAAGAATCTTGCAAATCATGTTAAGGTTCTAAAAATTTACAACAATGGTGCATGTCTTTTCTTAGCAATACCCTGTTGTTATAGGCTCCTATTGATGGCTGCACATTTGAAAATCTTTGCAATTCATTAGTCTCATGTTCGAACCTTCGTGTCTCTTTGATAGTATGAAAAACCCCCTCCTCTTGTTGTTTTCACTATCACTTGTATTCAAAAAATAATAATAATAAAATCAGGTTATTGCTGATAGGCAACAATTTGGTCAAAATTGGTTAGAAATTTGGTCAAGCTCAAAATCAACTGACCTCAATCTTTCTCAGCATCATTTTAGTTATAAAATGGAGTGTAAGTGGATAAAATTGGAGTGAAAAATCACTACTCATCCACAATTGCATCTTTCTGCCTTATTAGGTCAACCACGCGTCAGCATGAGCATGGAAGCATTAAGCAACTTGAGGTCCCACTCTACTACAAATGTCAAGTGGTGTTAGCTTCCAAGCTCTTCTTATTTTCTTCTTTGTCGGGCCTTGACCATTATTGAAGTTTTCTGAGAGTGAAATACTAAGAGAATTTCCAGCTCTTTGGGCTGGCCCTGGCAGAAGAGGGACTGGGCCGTTTGGCTCTTCCAGCGCGCTAGAGCATGAGTGCTTCTATAGTGAGTGGAAAGTTATAAGGGGTTTTTTTGAGGGGTATGTAAGAGCCGTTGGATTTCATCCAACGGTGAGTTTTTAAAAGAGGGTGCATGTAGAACCGGGTTGAAATCTGACCCGTTTGGAGACCCAACTTCAGCTGAAGATTTTTCCCTCTCTGTGAAAAACTCAAGAACACAATCCTCTCTTTTTTAATGTAATGCAAATCCACAATTAGAAAGATCCAAAGCTCCCAAACTCTATAATCGCTCCATTGTCATCAGCTCCTTGGGAGGCCTGCGATCTATGGTATCCTCGGTATGATGATTAATGGCTTTTACCTAGCTATTGCCCTGTTTTGATTCTATGATTGAAGTGAAAACCCCTTCTCTTTTTCGTTCAGCAGAAGAGATTCCAGATGAAAGCAAAGTAGCATATCTCTTTTTCGTGCTGCTGCAGTTGTTCCTGGATTTTGGTAGAGATGGAGTCTCCACTACGAAAGAATCCTCTCTAATGTCCACCACATTCTTTGAAGCTGACTGAGTTCGGAGCTCCCGATTGACTTTGAGAGGTAAGTTCACTCTTGCTGGATTGATTTTGTTGGGTTTGATTTGTTTTTTGTGAGGGTGAGAAATTTGTCATTTGTGGCATCAATAATGCGTCATTTGCTCTGCTATCAATAATGCGTCATTTGACTTTGAGAGGTAAGTTCACTCTTGCTGGATTGATTTTGCTGGGTTTGATTTGTTTTTTGTGAGGGTGAGAAATTGTCATTTGTGGCATCAATAATGCGTCATTTGCTCTGCTATCAATAATGCGTCATTTCCTTATGAATATTCAATATACTTAGTTGATTATTTTGTTTGGAGGGGGATTGGAAAATTATGAAATGTAGGTAAAAGATCCTAAACTTAGGCTTAATGGCATTAGAAGTAAGCATTTGGAGAGGATATTGGGTGAAGTTCTGTAATTGCTGGTTTGAATTACATTTGAGTTCTTAGTTGAACATGTTGGTTCTAATGTTATTTTTTCCAGATTATTTCACAAGAGATGACGTAACTAGTATTAAATTTTGCTTGTGTTTTGTGTAATCAGAATCCAACAAGCTAGGCTATGCGTGTATTGTGTCAATTTGGGCAATGTTTTGTGTAAGTGGAATGCATTGCTAAGTTGTGATGCAGTAATGATTGATTAATGAATTAACATTTGCTATGCAGTAATATAGAAGTAGATCAATAATATACGTGGATAAAATGTCTGGGGGCTCAGAGAGTGACGACTCTGTAACAGCTAATGGGAGGGTTTACATTCCTGAAGTAAGAAATGAGGAAACACCAGCAGTTGGGATGAAGTTCGACTCGCTTGACCTCGTTTATAATTTCTATAATAGATATGCATTCTTGGCTGGCTTTGGTATTCGACTTCATTCCAGCTTTTGGGGGGAAAAATAAGAAAGAGATTCTGAGAAAAGAATTTGTATGTTGCAAACAAGGTGCATACCGGAATGATGAAACTCGGGAGAGAAAAAGACACGGGGAATAAGTAGATGCAATTGCAAAGCTAAGATTGTGGTTGTGAAGACACATGGGAGCAAGAAGTATACCATCTCTCTTTTTGCAGAGGGACACAATCATAAGATGACACCCTCAGGAAGAATGCATTTACTGAGATCACACCGTCGTATTTCAGATTCTACAAAAGTACTTACAAAACAGTTGGGTTCGGTTAATATTCCCATTAATCAGAAGGTAAGTATTTTCGAGGTGCAATCCGGAGGAATGGATAAAATCGGTTTTATGAAAAAGGATATGTACAATCTTGAATGTAGTGTGAATGAGAAGCTGAGGAACCACGATGTTGAACTAGTGACCGAGTATTTTATGGCTGAACAGAAAAAAAATGAGGCTTTTTATTTCAAGATTGAGGGAGATGGCGATAACAGGTTTAGTCGATGTTTTTGGGCAGATGCAACTTCTAGACGGGCGTACGGGTTTTATGGAGATGTTGTTGTATTCGATACCACATTCAACACGAATAGATACGACTTGACATTTGCACCAATGTTGGGAGTTAATAACCCATGGTCAAACAATTGTCCTAGCATGCGCATTTTTGAGCAAGGAAACGACTGAGTCGTTTATTTGGATGTTTGAGAGTTTAAGAAAGCCATGCCAGGTGGCGAACCTAAAACGATCATCACAGATCAAGATGCGGCAATGAGCAGAGCGATTTCAATAGCCTTCCCGACTACATTTCATCGACTTTGCATATGGCACATCACATCAAAGTTCTCTGTTAAGTTTTTTTTTTTTTTTTTTTTTTTTTTTTTTTTTTTTTTTTTTTTTTTTTTTTTTTTTTTTTTTTTTTTTTTTTTTTTTTTTTTTTTTTTTTTTTTTTTTTTTTTTTTTTTTTTTTTTTTTTTTTTTTTTTTTTTTTTTTTTTTTTTTTTTTTTTTTTTTTTTTTTTTTTTTTTTTTTTTTTTTTTTTTTTTTTTTTTTTTTTTTTTTTTTTTTTTTTTTTTTTTTTTTTTTTTTTTTTTTTTTTTTTTTTTTTTTTTTTTTTTTTTTTTTTTTTTTTTTTTTTTTTTTTTTTTTTTTTTTTTTTTTTTTTTTTTTTTTTTTTTTTTTTTTTTTTTTTTTTTTTTTTTTTTTTTTTTTTTTTTTTTTTTTTTTTTTTTTTTTTTTTTTTTTTAACACAAGACTCCAGCCTCAGCCTATACAATCAAACTCTCCCAGAAGGCCCAATTGTCCAAAGCCATGAAATTTCCTCAAAACCATTTAACCTTCCAGTGCATACCCAATCAGAGACAAAACAACCCAAAACAGAAACTTCAACGAAACACAATATTTGTGACTAATTATATTGACAAATTCCACGTCAAAAAGGATGAAAATTTCAGATTAGAGGAGAGAAAAAAGAACAAAGAACTGAAGAAAGCGAGAATAAGAAAACGCAGTCGTCTTGTGCACGAAAACTTAATAGAAATGCCCACATCAACCAATGAGTTAGATTCAGAAAAAAGTTTCAGAAAGTAAACTGAGAAGCAGCCAAATAAACGGAGTTCAAATGTTAGAATTAAACATGGAAATCGAGAAAAATCAAACTCGAATGGATATAAGAAAATGGAGAAGACAAAAAAAGCTACCCAGCAACAATGGCTAAAATCACAGCAGACATAGGGGCGTTGAAACCATGGTGGAGAAAGCAAATAAGAGAGAGATTTAGAAAAGAGAAGCTCGCTCAAACTGGAGACGAAAGCAAAGGAGGCTGAGGGAGAGAAAAGCCCACCAAACAGGCCATAAGGGATTGAGAATGGGACTAGGAAAGGCAATGAAATGGAATTGCACAAAGAATAGAATCTAGTACATAGTTTGGTTGGGAATTATGATGGAATGGAATTAGTTCCACCGTTCGCTTTTGCATTTGTAATCGGATGTAATAAACTGTAAAATAAAAGTAAATAGGAAAAAGCAGTTCTCTTTTTTTGAGAATATTTAAGTTTCCACAACTGTTAAATTTTTGTTTTCTTCTAAAAACAGTTTCTGGAAAATATATTCTGTTATGTAGATTGTACTTTAAAAAAAGAGTGCTGCTATTTCCACCCACCTGTCCTATTTTCCCACCCACCTTATCTTTAAACTTTTCAAGACAAATTTAACCCTATTGTAAAATGACTTAAAAGGACTTAAGGAAAAAGAAAGAGGAAAAAAAAAACAACCATATGATGAGCACAAAGCGACCAAGAGAGCTGCCAATTTCTTCTCCTGTATATGTTACAAAAGACTAAGATACTAAGAACCAGTTATATTTGTAAGATTGGTGCATAATACAAGTTTCCCTATATATGTATAAGTCAAGTAGCATGGATACAGAACTAAAGCGCTATGTAGTAAACTTACTCTAGGAAAAGAACAGAGTTGAAAAGCTAAACCTGCAAAGCCCCACAGAAAAAGGATATAATATATGACATACGGGTTGGGGAGTTCGTCCCAATTAAAGAGATGAAGATCAACCACCCAAAGAAATACTTGTATATAATTTACTACATTTTCATTTTGATATATGGATTGAAACACTAAGAGGATAAATGGGATTATATTGACAGAATCCATATTTACAAAAATAAAAATAAAAATGACAGCAAAAAACTATTTTAGTTCAATAAACACAGAGATGGAGTGTGAGAGATGGAAAATAAGATAGAGCAAAAATGAGAGAGAGATGTGTGGGCCGTCAGAGAGAAAGAAGACATGAGCAGAGAGAATAAAGGAGAGAGGAAATGAGGTCATAATTAAAAGGGTATTTTAGGAATATTGGTGGGTGTAAAAATAGGATTGTGTTTTTTAAAATTTATATGGTGGGTGAGAAGATAAGGTGGATGGGAAAATAGGACAAGTGGGTGGAAATAGCAGCACTCTAAAAAAATTGTCATCTAGAACTAATTTGCAAGAAAAACAAGAATCTAGTTTGAGTCAACACTTCTCATATGAACCTGGGGCGGGTCCCATATGGGGGTTGCTACTTGGAGGGGCCCACTCGGTCTTAGGACACGTACCACCGTATGGTTCTATTCGGAGCGGGGCTGATGGGTTGACCCCGTCCACTGGAATGGACCCAATCTTGTGTTTTTTATTATATAGATACCAGATCCAAGAATAAAATGCTACGCAAGAAAACAAAAATTATAATTAATATAAATACTAAAATTGAAATAATGGTCCATCCATCCGTCTTGCCTCTTGACTTTGCTTTGTTCCTTTTGTTATTTTCCCCTTATTAAAAGAGACCATGTTATAATGGTTTTATGTGGTGAAAATCATGGGCATCGCTTTAAAATTTGAAAATCAAATGAGTGAAGATTATTGCAAAAGATTTCCTGCATGTCAAATACGCAAGTGTATGTTTGGCTTCTTTTATAGCATGTAAACTGCTAAAATCGACGTCTAAAAAAATATAGTCGATAAAGAAAAACTTTTAAGACGACAATTTATCACACTCGCGTGCTTAAAATATAAAACTGTTGAAATAAATACAATTGCGAAAAAATATTTACAACAATTTGTAAGTCACACGTAACGCGCGTGATTAAAAAAAATAATGATCATAATATTAACTTGGTAATCCTTGCTTTGGTCTCCATTAGAAATTTAGCCTTCCAAGTAACCTTTTCCCTTCTCTACTAATTAGATTTCTAATGGAGTCTGTTGACCAATGTTTGTGCTGATTATTTAGATGTCACTACCTGGTTGAAAACCTATAAGGATTACTAGAAATGTCAGTTATATTTTCTGAAAATGGGTGCTGAATAGATGATATGACCCTTATTTCTTTCATTCTTAATCTCAGGTTCAACCAAACCGTGTGTAAACTTTATGTTCCTTTTTAGGAAACTTCCTTGATGGGTCACAGATCCTTTTTGTTTTGTTTTGAAAATGGTAGTCATAGACAAAGAAGATGATATTAAAAGCAGTAAATAATTAGTTTGTTACGGCTGTATTTGACAGCGCATTGTTGTATTTTAATATAAAGCGTGTACAAACTGAATGGAAGATATCATTATAAAGTTAATGAAAATTACAATTCCTTTTGATTTCATTAGGCAGGGACCCCTGGGAAGAGCTTTTCCACCACACTGCGTTTTTCCAAGAAGCTCTCTCCTTTCCGTTATTGCCTTGCCTTTACTACAACCTCTTCTCCACTAATCCCATAACATTATAGCACCTTCTTCTCATTGTTTTCAGTTTGGGAGGGGTGGAAATCAGATAATTAAAGAAAGAAAGCAGAGGATCCGTCTTGGAAAGTTCCTTTCTTTTTCTATATAAATTCCTCCGTTTTCTCAGTAACCAAACAAAGGTTTCTATGTCTCAAAGAAAAGCACTTGCTTATTAGCCGTGGCAATTGAGAGAGCAACAACTAGTTTCCTGGTTTGCAAATACTCGTCGTGGAGATCAGTCTTTTTTTGAGCCATCTTTAACACCTAGTAGTAATCTTTACAGACCCTTGTTGAGATTCAGGGATGAGGGCTACTTCAGAATCAGCAGAGTTGATATTTTTAGCCACTAACCTTGGCCTAGAGATGTTGTCAGCTGCTTGTGATCAGGCTTCCTCCCCAAGAAGACCCCACTTTGCACTATTTGGGATGCTGTTGGCTATTGCAGCTCTGCTCATTTCCATCGGGGAGCTAATTTGCAGAGGTAAAAGGGAACGAGTTGTGTTGAGGAGATGGGGAATGCTCTGGTGGTTTTATCATCCACCACCTCCTCGACATACGCCTTTTGGTACTCTTCCTGACATTTATGGACTAGTTGCTGGCATCTTACAGTGCATTTGCTCTATAGTTCAGTATGTTTACTGCCTTCAGCATGCTGATAGTCCTTTGAAAGCATCCCTTTTGCCTGCCATATTTCTTATCTGTTTAATTGGTTCAAGACTAAGTAATAAGCGAATGACCGCCAATACCACTGATAACATGGACTCGTGGGAAAATTCTTCAAGGTAAACACGAATTACACTGCTCATATGCTGCTTAATTAATTTGTATATTAAATCTTTTTGCAGCTTTTTAGTCTGAGATAATACAAAAGAAAGGCTTCTTCTTATTTATTTATTTATTTATTTTTGAATGGAGATGAGATGGAAATTTTAAAAAATAATTAAGGGAGATTTTATTGGATATCATATCACATGGGAATTCTACTTTATTTCAAGCACAAAATGTAAAGACTAAACTGCAAGCAGATAGAGAAATAGTGGCTAATTAAGCTAGCTCTGTATCTTTAAGAAACAAGACAGTTGTAAAAGATTGCCTTTTTTTTTCTCTGTTTGCTTTTTCATCTGTATGCATGGCTTCCATTCCACTGATAGAAAATATTCTCTCAATCTGTTGGTTTGTAGCACGGAAGAAACTTCGTTGCATCCAATTCCAGTGTATGATGCACCTGCAAATATACCACTTCTCGATAATCAGGAGGTAGAGGTACTAATTTAATTACAATTTAAAGTAAATTATTTCCAAAACATTCATACATACATATATATATATATGGACACGCACATATATAACCTTGAAATATTAATTTAAAAGTTGTCATTTGTTTATATATCATAGCAATAACTGAACAAAATAAAGGAAATAATTTTCTTTAAAAAAAAACCATTGACATAAAATACCACAAAAACAAAGTTGGTGAAGTGGTTTGTGAACGAGGCCTTCCTCCTTTGAGGGTCAAGGTTTGAGTCTCTTCATGCACACTAAATTTCTTACCTTTTTAGGTTGAGGGCAACATAGAGAAGCAGAAGCAGGAGCAGCGGCGGCTGGAGGAGCAGCGGTTGTTGGAGCGGCGACTGGAGGAGTTGGAGCGGCAACTGGAGGAGTGGCGGCTGAAGGAGTGGCAGCTGGGGGAGGAGGAGTGGGAGGAGCGGCAAATGGAGCGGAAAATGAAGCATAGTCTGCAACTTTGAGTCAACACTTCTCATATGAACCTGGGGCGGGTCTCATATGGGGGTTGCTGCTTGGAGGGGCCCACTCGGTCTTAGGACACGTACCACCGTATGGTTCTATTCGGAGCGGGGCTGATGGGTTGACCCCGTCCACTGGAATGGACCCAATCTTGTGTTTTTTATTATATAGATACCAGATCCAAGAATAAAATGCTACGCAAGAAAACAAAAATTATAATTAATATAATACTAAAATTGAAATAATGGTCCATCCATCAGTCTTGCCTCTTGACTTTGCTTTGTTCCTTTTGTTATTTTTCCCTTATTAAAAGAGACAATGTTATAATGGTTTTATGTGGTGGAAATCATGAGCATCGCTTTAAAATTTGAAAATCAAATGAGTGAAGATTATTGCAAAAGATTTCTTGCATGTCAAATACGCAAGTGTATGTTTGGCTTCTTTTATAGCATGTAAACTGCTAAAATCAACGTCTAGAAAAATATAATCGATAAAGAAAAACTTTTAAGAAGACAATTTATCACACTCGCGTGCTTAAAATATAAAACTATTGAAATAAATACAATTGCGAAAAAATATTTACAACAATTTGTAAGTCGCACGTAACGCGCGTGATTAAAAAAAATAATGATCATAATATTAACTTGGTAATCCTTGCTTTGGTCTCCATTAGAAATTTAGCCTTCCAAGTAAACCTTTTCCCTTCTCTACTAATTAGATTTCTAATGGAGTATGTTGACCAGTGTTTGTGCTGATTATTTAGATGTCACTACCTGGTCGAAAACCTATAAGGATTACTAGAAATTTCAGTTAAATTTTCTGAAAATGGGTGCTGAATAGATGATAGAGTGCTGCTAAACGAACCCTAAAATTAACTGAATACACCCTATAATCTAAGTTAACCCTAATATTTTAATTAAAATATAAAATTAACTAAGTACACCATATTTAACTACCAAAATAGCCCTAGTACAACGCTCTAATACCAATCCTAAACCAGGTTTCTCTTTTTACATGAATCTATGCCCTCTTTTCAGATTTTGGGTTTCATCAAAATCTTTAATTTCGTAATACCAATCCTAAACTAGTACTCGCTGCGTTATTCGTGAGCACCAAGCAATACGAAGACTTTTCTATATTTGATAAGGATTGAATATAGTGAATAAGGTGTACTTATTAAAATTTTATTTGTTTCACAATTCAATATATCCAAATCAGATGTGAATTTGAGAAAATAGAGGAACCAAATCTAATCATTCCCAAAACCAAGGTCTTAAATATCGATAGTTTCGGAAATATCGGGAAAATATCGATATCGATAAAAATTGGATAAAAACCACGGAAATTGTGATAAATACATGGAAATTTTTAATGAAACTTTAGAAAAAGTGTATTTAGTCAATCATCTATTATTTTGACACAAAAAATTAGAAGGAAATGCATTGCATAGTGGGTTTGAGTGATTTAAGTTGATTATATTGCGAGCTGACAAACTTTGTGACTTAGAAAATTTGGAATAATTAATGAAAGAGAATTAAACATCCCTTAGTAATTTATTTATCATTTTTTAGTAAAATATTTTACACTCTATAAATTTTATGATAAGATACATGAGTAACCTTATTTCACGTTATTCACTGGACATGGTACACATTGTTATATTTATTATTTTATCAAAATTTGAAAAATAATTAAAGATGTAAACCAACTTGATTTGTCGTGAAAATTAGGCACTCTACCATGTTTAAAAAATAATAGTGAAGATTGAAAATTAACTAAGAACATAAAATAAATTTATCTAAGGAAGAATTAAATAGAAAATAAAGAAAATGATTATATAGATTTAAGTGATTAAGCAACAATTTATTTCATGTTATTTACTGGACATGGTACGCGTTCTTATATTTATTGTTTATCAAAAATTGAAAAATAATTAAAGATGTAAACCAATTTGATTTTTCTTGAAAATTAGGCACTTTACCATGCTTAAAAAATAATAGTGAAGTTGAAAATTAACTAAGAAATTAAATAAATTTATCCAAGGAAGAATTAAATAGTAAATAATGAAAATGATTATAGAGATTTAAGTAATTAAGCAACAATTTGAAGGAGAATTTAGTAATGTAAGTACTTATAATGAATAATAAAATAATCAATAACATTAAATGGATTAAATAGAAAAGAAATAAATTATATTAAGTAATTAAGTAACTGATCAACAATATAAAACAATAAGTAATTATGTTAATTTATATTTTGAAAAACAGCTCGCAAGTATTATATATACTAGATTCCATAGTTTATAATTACAAAGTTATGACCAGCGTGGTGTTTAAGTGGCTTCTAATTTCGAAGTGGAGAGGGGTTTGAACCCCACTGTGTGCGAGCGTGAGTGAGTTTTCAGCGTTTAATTTTTGAACGTTCATATCGCGATATTAATAATATCGCGATATATTGACCATTTGTAGCTGCCAATTGAACGAAAATATCGTAACTTAAATATCGAGGAAATTATCGATAAATTGACGATATATAGATGGAAATGTACTAAAATATTGCTGCCCAAAAAAAAAGATAATTTCGCTGAAATATCGGCGAAATTATCGATATTTAGATCTATACCCAAATCCAATAAACCGCAATGAAAAGCTTGAGGAGCTGATGGACAAAATAATAATAATACATAGATTTTGTTTAGGCTGAGAGTAAATAAACACCTAGATTTTGTTTTTAAAGAAGTTAGCCTATAGGCTATAGCCCACCCAGTACTGTGATTTCCGTCCAAGACAGACAAGTCAGTCCAAGAAAAACAAACCCTCCTATGTTTGCACTAGCTTAGGGACCTGAAAGTGAAAGACAAACCGTGTTTTTTACCACAAAAAAAAAACAGACAAACCGTGTGGGCCACCTGAGAAGAGCTTGCCTTGCCTTTACTAGAACCTCTTCTCCACTAATCCCATAAGAGCATCTCTATGAGCATCGCTACTCCCTGATCCCAGCTATTTTAGCGAAAAAGAAGGGAAAACTGCCCTCCAGAAGAGTCGCTGCTCGCCATCTCGTTCAAACCCAAAACTTCAAAGTCTCCATCGTTTCTCTGTTTCTCTCTATTCTCTCTGTCAAAGTCTCCATCGCAGTCTCTATTTTCTCTGTTTCTCCACCCTCTTTGAACTCTGAGGTGGTGTTTTCAGGTGAGATTTGAAAATTCCCTTTTAATTACTTGAAATTTGTATATGGGTTTCTGGTGGGTTTGTATATGGGTTTCTAGGTTTGAAATTTGAAATGAGTTTCTAGGTTTCTGCTTGGAAGGATTTGAGTTTGTGCTTCAAATTAATAAGTTCCTCCGCAATTTCTGCAATTTGAGTTTAGGGAAAAGTATTTGGGTTTGTATATGATACAATTTCTACAAGGGTTTAGGGGAAAGTATTTAAAAGTACTTGAATTGTTGGATCCGTAAGGGTTTGTATATAACACTTTAGCACCTTCTTCTCATTAAAGAAATAAAGCAGAGGATCCGTCTTGGAAAGTTCCTTTCTCTTTCTATATAAATTCCTCCGTTTTCTCAGTAACCAAACAAAGGTTTTTATGTCTCAAAGAAAAGCACTGGCTTATTAGCTGTGGAAATTGAGAGAGCAACAACTGGTTTCCTGGTTTGCAAATACTCGTCGTGGAGATCAGTCTTCTTCTGACCCATCTATAACACCCAGTAGTAATCTTTACAGACCCTCCTTGAGTTCCAGGGATGAGGCCTACTTCAGAATCAGTAGAGTGGATATTTTTAGCCACTTACCTTGTCCTAGAGGTCTTGTCAGCTGTTTGTGATTAGGCTTCCTCCCCAAGAAGACCCCACTTTGCACTATTTGGAATGCTGTTGGCTATTGCAGCTCTGCTCATTTCCATCGGGGAGCTAATTTGCAGAGGTAAAAGGGCAGGAGTTGTGTTCATACGCAGAAGGGGCTGTTGGTTTTATCATCCACCACCTCCTCGATATACGCCTTTTGGTACTCTTCTTGAAATTTATGGACTAGTTGCTGGCATCGCACAGTGCATTTGCTCTATAGTTCAGTATGGTTACTGCCTTCGGCATGCTGATAGTCCTTTGAAAGCATCCCTTTTGCCTGCCATATTTCTTATCTGTATAGTTGGTTCAAGACTGAGTAATATGCGAATGAACGCCAATACCACTGATAACATGGGCTCGTGGGAAAATTCTTCAAGGTAAACACGAATTACACTGCTCATATGCTGCTTAATTAATTTGCATATTAAATCTTTTTGCAGCTTTTTAGTCTGAGATAATACAAAAGGAAGGCTTCTTCTTCTTTATTTATTTATTTATAAGAAATAATTAAGGGAGATTTTATTAGATATCATATCACATGGGAATTCTACTTTATTTCGATAAGCACAAAATGTAAAGACTAAAGTGCGAGCGGATAGAGAAAGAGTGGCTAATTAAGGTAGCTCTCTATCTTTAATAAACAAGACAGTCATAAAAGATTGCTTTCTTTTCTCTGTTTGCTTTTTCATATGTATGCATGGCTTCCATTCCACTGATAGAAAATATTCTCTCAATCTGTTGGTTTGTAGCACGGAAGAAACTTTGTTGCATCCAATCCCGGCATCTGCAAATATACCACTTCTCAATAATCAGGAGGTAGAGGTACTAATTTAATTATGATTTAAAGTAAATTATTTCCAAAACATTCATACATACATATATATACACACACACACACGCACATATATATAACCTTGAAATATTAATTTAAAAGTTGTCATTTGTATATATATCATGGGAATAACTTAACAAAATAAAGGAAAATTTTTTTTTTTTTTTTATAAAAAAAAAAAAAATTTAAATATAAATATAAATAAAATAAAAATAAAATAATGATAAATACCACAAAACACCAACAAGTTGTTTAAAGTGGTTTGTGAACGAGGCTTTCCTCCTTTGAGGGTCAAGATTTGAGTCTCTTCATGCACACTAAATTTCTTACCTTTTTAGGTTGAGGGCAACATAGAGCATCAAGAGCAGGAGCAAGAGCAGCTGCTCCTGCAGCTGCGGCAGCAGCAACAGCTGCAACTGCGGCAGCGGCAGCGGCAGCGGCGGTTTGGGGAGCCGCAGGAGCAGCTGCAGCTGGGGCTTGGGGATCAGGAGCAGCTGCCGCTAGAGCAACAGCGGCGGCTTGAGGAGTGGCTGCAGCTCCAGCGGCAGCACCGGCGACGGCGGTTTGGGGAGTCCATTAATTGAATCTATTAATTACTTTTAGTTCAACATCAAATTTGTGTACCAATCAGACAAAAGAAGGGTTAAATGTTTGAAAGTTCCTTAATGCCCTTGAGAAATAAATGTACTAAAAGATAGGATTCTTCACACGAGGGCAAAATAGTAAACGTCTCCAGCGGCAGCTGCAGCAGCAGCGGCTTGGGGAGCAGCACCGGCAGCGGTGACTTGGGGAGCCCCCTATTATTAATTGAATCTATTAATTACTTTTAGTTCAACATCAAATTTGTGTACCAATCAGACAAAAGAAGGGTTAAATGTTTGAAAGTTCCTTAATGCCCTTGAGAAATAAATGTAACTAAAAGATAGGATTCTTCACATGATGGCAAAATAGTAAAAGTAAAATATTGAAATAAAATTTGAAGGACGAGTACATTCACCAACCAAATACAAGATAGAATAATCAACATTTTAATTAGTCAATTATTTCATAATCAACTGTTCAATTAATTATGTCGGAACCTTCCCTTCGCATATGGAAAATTTTAAATTTAAAAAATAAATAAATAACTTTTTAGCCACGGATAACAGTCACATTAAACCAAACCAAACCTTCTCTTATTACTGGTAAAAAATTAGGCAAAGAGAGTAAAGAATGAGAGAAATAAAGAAGGAGACAAACATGGAGGCTCAGCCTGGAGTTGACCTTTACCAGTTGGGAGCCTGAAAGTTGAGAGAGAAACAAGTGAAATAAACCTCTCAGATTCAGATTGGTTCCATTTGGATTTAGGGTTTTCTTTCTTCTTCTTCAACAGAAGAAAGAAGAAAGAAGATGATGTTAATAGCGTGGGAAGGATAATCAAACAAGCAAACAAATCCCAAAACCGAAACAATGGGGTGGAGGAATGCGTTTGACAATGCGAAGCCAGTGTTCGTGACTATATACGCCACTGTAATAATTGGGATCATTTTCTCGTCTTTGTATGTGATATCGGCCATTTACTCTGGCAAGTCTGCTGCAGATTCCACCACCTCCTCGCTTTCGCGTCAGTTTTTCATTGTCTTTTATTCTTGTGGAGTCGCAATGGTGCTCTTGTTTATACAAGATCCATTTCACTCTTCCCGCCACATCTCTAACTCATGACAACTACTAACGTATATTGCTAAGTGATTTAACTGATTCGACTGTGACATCATAAGCTCATTTAGAAACTAAACTCAACTTTGCTCTTGTCCTGTGATCAAACGTCTGACTTTTGGTGCTTGTAGTTTAGTTTATTTTATTTTATTTTTTTCTTGGGTTGAAAAAAGTGGATCAACTTTGTGAGGTTCCACCCCAAAACCAATTGGCAATGGAGGGAATAGCCTAACTCCTTATAAGCCTTTGCTAGGTTTCTCAACTTTTCAATGTAGGATTCTTTACCTTCACATTCTCACACGTCCCTGCACGTGTGGCGAATTTTCAAGCATAACACGTGGACAACACATTTTGGGTGACTTGGAGCACGTGTGGCCGTTGGGCTTTCACACGTGGGCAACCCGCTCTGATACCATGAAGAAACTGATTTTCCATTATATTATTCATATGATCATTATACAATATATATATATATATATATAAAGTCTGTAGAGAATAATCGACAGTTACAATAAGTCATTATCACAAACATAAATATGGAGTTATGGCCTAATAACAACGTGTTGAGGCCCAAAAAATCCATGGATTGGGCCCAAGCAATTATCAGCCCGATACAATATTCCATAAGGAAAAAGAAAGGAAAAAAGGTCTATCACATGCAAGTTATAATCCACATGCCGCGCTAAATAAACAAATTATCATGCTATGATTCGCGATAAAAAAATATATATGATTAACTCATGCTAAGATTAAAACAATCCTTCCCAAGGGCGATAAGGTAAAATATGCCGAGCAACATGCCATGCCGTTATCTCGCACCCAACCACGCTACAAGCCTAGGTGGGCCCAAGCCACTCAAAAAACCCGGGGCTTGCTTGAGTGGGTTGTGGCATGGATGGTGATAAATCAACATGAGACCCATTGATGGACCAAGAAATGGAAAGTCCCGGGTTGCTTGGGAGCCTCGAGACTCAAGCTCGTTTCTTAGGCCCAAACACGTGGGTAAGCACAAGAGAGAAAAGTAGCCCAATACCCAAGCAAAACAACCCAACCAAAATAAAGCCCAAGCTAAGAAGCCCAATGTTTAGTAAAAGACCTTTTGCTTAGAAAATCACCTTGGCCCATATAAAATCCTAAAATAGCCCACAAAAAACCTCAGCTTTTGGAGAAAACAGAGAACACGTGAAGAACGGATGGCAGACTCCTTGAGCAAAGCTGCTGGAAACCAGTCCCAAGCCAGAGACATCCAAAGAACCGATGAATACCATCCCGCATGCTGTCAGAAGCATCCCTTGGACCAGCAGATATTTTCACCTCTTTTCCTTCATCAGATTCAGCCAAGGAAGAGGAAAGAAAAGAAGAAAAAACAGCAAACCAAGAATGGAAGCTCCCATTGCACAGCTGCGGGAAAGGAGGATGTTGAGCCCCCAAATCCCCTGAATTCACGAAAACAGACAGAAGCAATCTTTGCCAAGAAAGGGAAGTTAGAGAAGGGGAGGAGAAAGGGAGAAAAGCTCAGCCAAAGTAAGTAGAAGCCATTAGGGTTTCTTGAAAAATGATGATTTCCGGCAGCTATAAATTGAGCCTTCCCCTACCCAACAAACTCAACTCACAACCTGCAGAGAGCAAGCTTTTCTCTCTATCTTGCAAAACTCAGACTCGTGCACTGTTCATCTTCTTCTCCAATTTATTTTTCTGGTAGCTGCCGGAAGAACCCTGTCTTTCTTTTTTCTCTTTCTCTAATCAAAATTCCTCACAAAACACCTCATTCCTTACTTAAACACTTTCATTTCTCATAAACCAAGCCTAATTTCTCTCTTAGTGCTAAACCCATGTTGGTTTTGCTCCCCATGCCTCATGCCACTCATGCTGAGCTAAAAAAAAACATATGTAAGCATGCCAAGACTATCTGCAAGTCACTATTATTCTCATTGGTGAAGATTATCCAAAATATCTCTTAAGGTTTCGCTGCCCTTTCGAGGTATTTTGGGGCTTAATTTTCGAATCTAAACAAAAAGGGGCAATCTCCTCAGTCTGCCTTTTGCAGCAGCCCAGCCCGTTAGCTGCAGGAAGAAAAAAGTCCCCTACATAAATTGGCGACTCTGCTGGGGATTAAGCCATTATCTTCATCAATGCCTCCAAGAAAGAAGACCAGAAGCAACAACATAACTTCCCAGGATGGGCCAAGCCATGCTGACTCAGAGTCAAGGCAACATGCCTCTTCTAGAGAAGAAGAACGTGCAAGTGAGGGAACTTTTACCCTCACAGATCTTGTTGCAGCCATTCGTGCTATGGGTGAGACCCAGAGGGAGATGGCAGAGATGATAAAAGAACTCAAAAATTTGGCTCCAAAGCCAAGTGAAGTGAATGAGAAGCACCCACAGAAGGAATCTGCTGCTGCCGGAAAGGAGTCTGAGCAGAAGGGACCATCTTTTGTCACTCAGGAGGACGTTGTTGCCATGCTGGAAAAGGAGCTGAGCCGAAGTCAGGAAGATTGGAAGTATCTTCCTCAGCCGCCGTATCCGTCAAGCTTACTCCAGCAGCCATATCCTAAAGGCTATGAAGCACTGACCTTTGTCCTCTTTGATGGACGAAAGGGGAGCCCGAAGGAGCATGTCAATCGCTTCATCGATGCCTTGGGACCATACGCTGGTGATCATAATCTTCGACTTAGAGAATTTTCAAAGAGTCTCACCGATCGTGCTTACACATGGTATACAACGTTGGCACCAGGCTCTATTCATTCCTAGGAAAGTCTGGCAAGCAGGTTCTGTAAGAAGTATTTTCAGCATGAAGAACGAGTCACCACCACTCAACTCAACAACACTCGCCAAAAGCATGGTGAGGATCCCGTGGACTTTGTACGCAGGTTCCGGGACCTGGCATTGGATTGCTATGATGAGAAAGACAATGAGGCGCTTGTTGAAATTTGCATCAGCAATATCGTGGCAGATTATAGAGTGTATTTGGAGAATATTGGCATTAGTCAATTTTCTCGGCTGCTGGAAGCTGTGAGGAAGACGAGCATGTCCGTCAAGCCACCAGGACAAAGGACTTGGAGGAATGAGAAGAAGGAAGCGCATCAGACATTAGCAATAGATGACAAGCCATCCAACGACTACAATTCACGCAAACGAAAGGATAGAGAGACGTATCCACCACTACCATGCAAAGATGAAGAATTTCATGCTATCCTTGACACAATGATTGCTGATGGCGTAATCAAACCTGTCAGACCCTACAAGGTTCCTACTCGAGAGGAAAAGAATGATCCTAGGTACTGCCGTTATCATCAATTTGTGGGGCATCCAACCACTGCCTGTCAGAGTCTGAGGAGGATTTTACACGCCAAAATACATGAGGGAGTCCTTGAACTTCCCTTTAGGAAGCAAACGATTGATGAAGACCCCTTGCCAAAACGAAGGGGAAAGGAGGTAGCCGCTGTCATTACATGTTCTGATGATTTGCTTGATGATGATGAATTGTGCCACCCTTGGAGGAATGACCCAAAGCCGCCGGAAGCCATATGGGAACCTTGCGGAAACATGGAAAAGGCATATTGGTGTAAATATTCGAGGCCTTCAAGTTACAACACACCATGGCCACTCGCTGATGGATGGGGGTGACAACTCAGGCAGCGAAATTTTTGTTTTGGACATGCCGGAAGAACGCTACTCGGGGGCTTTATCGGAGCAGCAGGAAGCAGCTGCCGTGACATTTCATAATATCACGGAAGCTGAAACAAGTGTGATGGAAAGTTATTTAAGCATGAAACAGGGGCCCACAGCTTCACAGGTCCTTCAAAGAAACCCAAAGTTCAAATCACTCTTTGACCAACTTGGGTTCGGGCCTCAAGCAAGAGAAGCAGCTGCTGTAGCCCTGATGAATATCTCTGAGGAGTCTAATTCTCAATGCTTTACAACTCAACCACAAGGGTCATTCTTGGGAAATGACAATGCTATTGTCTTTACGGACGAAGACATGGAAGTTCCATACCCGGACCATAGGAGGCCGCTTTACTTGGAGGGACAAATCAATGATGTGTTCATAAGGAGAGCTTTGGTGGACACGGGTTCCTCTGTCAACATATTACCTCTGTCTGTGCTTACGGCAGCTGGTATCCCATTGTCCAAAATTGTCCAATCACAAACAAACATCAGTGGTTTCGGAAATAAGAGTGAGGTCACAGTTGGGCATCTACAAGTACATTTGAAGGTTGGGCCAATTCGGTCACTTACTAAGTTCTATGTTGTGGATGTGGATGTGGCTTACCATGCTTTGCTTGGAAGGCCATGGCTCAACAAGCATAAGCTTGTGGTCTCTACTTATCATCAATGCGTAAAAGGAAGGATTGGGCTGAGGCCGCTACGCATACCTGGAAACCAAGCACCTTTCAACAAAGATGAAGCTCACTACTTTGAGGCAGAATTCTACACTGAATGCACAGGTGCTGGAAGCAATCCATCCAAGGATTTCGGGACCTACCTTCCTTCGTGGACTGAAATTCGTGATTTAAGCAATGAGGAGCTCATCACCATTGTTGATCGAGAGAGAAAGAGGCACTCGGAAGTCAACAACCATGCCTATGATCATCCCCAATGCTCAAAGGTGACGCTGCCCGATGGACGTATCGTGTACCGCTTATGACGGGGTTGGGGGCTTGACCGTGTCTTACGGGAAAGCCCCGAGTATGGAGGAAAAGTAATGCAAACGAATAGCTGTGGGAGTTCCACCAACAAGGCACCTATGCCTTGTGCTTTCCAAGAACCAATGGCAGCACCCAGACACATGCAAGATGGATCGGCAGCAGTAGCTGAACAGTTGGAAACAATTGATTTGAGTGAGGATCCCTCTGCCCCGAGGCCCATTTCCATAAGTGTTCATTTAACAAGTGAGGAGAGGGCGGCCTTGATATCTTTGCTAAAGGAATTTCGAGATGTGTTCGCTTGGAGCTATGAGGAAATGCCCGGCTTGAACCCAAGCTTAGTAAGTCATACTCTGAATATTGAGCTTGGTACAAAACCTATCGTGCAGCCAAGAAGGAATTTTCATCCTGAAGTTGAGAAGCAAATCAAGGTGGAAATTGAAAAATTGTTAGCTGCCGGATTTATTAAGCCAATCAAGCATCCTATGTGGCTAGCAAATATCGTCCCTGTGAAAAAGAAAACCGGTGTGATCAAAATATGCACGGATTATCGAGACCTCAACCGAGCTTGCCCGAAGGACGAGTTCCCGCTGCCTAACATGGATATCTTAATTGATTTGACCTCGGGTCAAGGCTTGTTGTCATTCATGGATGGGTTTAGTGGCTACAATCAGATCAAGATGTCTCCCAAGGATGCCGAAAAGACAGCCTTTCAAACACCGTATGAGAATTTTTATTATTCAACCTAATTGGGAGTTACCTAATTAAGTTGAAAATTGATTTGATTCATACAACAATTGGGGATTTGATTTACCCTAATAAATCAAATCTCTAATTAATCAAATCAATTCCAAATAGGGGAGGAATAATTCCCTTCCATCTACGGAATTATTCCTCTGCAACCCTAGTCTCCAAGACCACTATAAAAGGATAGCCACACACAATGGTTGAGGTACGTCTAAAACCTCTACTGAAACTCTGTAGAAAATTCCTCTCAAACCCTAGCCACCTCCTCTTTTTCTTTTTCTTTTTACATAAGGCTCCGGCCGCCCGGTTTACACCTTAAACACATCTCCGTACCCTAATTAGCTAGTGTTTCTTTTACAAACTCTTGAACTAATTTAGGCATCGGAGGGCCTTTGGCCAACACCCCCCCAGCTGTGGCCCTCTTATTTCTTCTATTTTGCAGGGAGAAAGAGGAGGCGATGAAGGAAGAGGAATCTTTGCAACCGAATATTCTCGTGAGGAAATTTGTACAAACAAATTGGTGCTTTCATTGAGAGCACGAGATATACTCGAAGCGTGCTTCAAACCTATTTTTTCAATCCACCGAAGCCTTCCAAACAACCATGGTTGGAAGCAAACGCCTTAGGAGCAAACCCACCGCGACGGCGCACTCCGGAACGGCCGAAGCCTCACTGCCACCACGAGGTACAGCTGCTGCCAGCTATTTGCAGCAACCTCCCATCGCTGCCAGCACGTTCCAGCAGCTTCCCGGTGAGATCCAGCAACATCCCATGGCTGCCAGCGCATTCCAGCAGCTTCCCTGCGCATTCCAGCAGCTTCCCAGCGAGTTCCAGCAGCCTCCCATGGCTGCCAGCGTGTTCCAACAGCTTCCCGGAGATTTCCAGCAGCCTCCCATGGCTGCCAGCGCGTTCCAGCAGCTTCCCGGCGGGTTTTAGCAGCCCCTTGTGGCTGCCCATGCTGTCCAGCCACCTCCGGCAGCTACACAACCTCTCCAAACAACTGCTATAGCAACCGGAAAGCAGCAGCAGCTGTGCCATGTGGCTGCTGTGATTGCAGCACAGCCACGCAGCCCCGTGGCCTCCTCCGTCGTGCAACCGCAAGGCCTAGGTGCCGGTGCCGCCACCCATGACAGTGTCGCCATTCGTGACCACCTCAATGCCATCTCGGGCCATTCCCTAGTCTTGGAGCAAATCCATTCACTCCCTCCTTTGCAACCACACTTGATGTATGCACCCATGTACACATCTAATGGAACCCTAGTCCATCTGCTATTGGGCCCGATCCACACCTCTATTCCCGACCCGCGCAGTCAAGTGAGCCTTAACTCACGAGTTGATCAGCTTAGACAAAGGGTTGATGACCAAAACAATTTAATTAGCCAGCTACTCAGGCAGATCAACTTGAGTCAAGACCTTGGAGCCCACGACGAGGAGAGAAGGATCCGTGAGCATACCGACGAGTATTTTGAGGGATCTCAGACTAGTCAGTCAGAGACAAACTGGCAGGGGAGAGAACGAGATCGTGCTGATGAGACGCAGACATCTTCAAGCTGTACTCTGAGCCGATCGACGATCCATTCAAGACTACGCTCACAGGAGGCACGAGCCCGTGAACTATTGCGTGATGAACGCAACGACCGACGTTCACTAACCCGTTTGAGAACCAACTCGCGGCGACAACTCATGGAGGAATCTTCGCAAGCTCAATCCACCAATCTGCCTCACGGGCAGGGCAAACGAAGGAGGTCAACCTCTTCAAGTCGACGAGGAAGTCAACCATCCCTGCTTGAATCACGAGGGTCGCCAAAGTGATCGGCAAGGCATGCGCGCTAAGGAAGTCGAGAAGCTCGTAAACGACTGACTTCGTAACTTAAAGATCGGTGGAAATTTTGAAGATGCTCTACGCAGGGAGGTGGACCAAGCAAACTCTACGCCCTTCATTATCGAACTCGAGCAAGCCGCTCCTCCTAAGAGATTCTCAACGCCTTCATTCACGCATTTCAAAGGGGATTCCGATCCCGAGAGCCATCTAAAGCACTTCAAAAGTATCATGATCTTCTACAAGGCTAACGACATGCTGATGTGCAAGGTGTTTGCAATGACCTTGCAAGGAGCAGCTCAAGACTAGTTCCACAGCTTGCCATCTGGGTCGATCAGCAACTTTAAGGAGCTAGCTCACGTCTTCACCAAAGAATACACTTCTTACCGGATGATCAAGAAGAACCCTGACCACCTGTTCAACCTGCAAAAGAAGGATGATGAATCCCTCCGAGATTACATCAAGAGGTTCAAAGCAGAAAGGGCAAACATCATTGGATGTGACGATCGAATTGCGTCATCGGCCTTCAAGAGGGGCTTGCCAATTGAGTGTGAGCTGTATCGCGAGCTCACCATCTCTCCTTGCCAAACACTAGTAGAAGTCTTCGCGACAGCAAAGCGCTATGCACTTTGGGACGATGACTGGACCGCCGCAAAGAAAGCTGCCGATCAACCGGTTGAGCCGGCAAGCCAAAGAAACGACATGATAAAAGACAAGGATGGGGGCAAGCGCGGATTACAGCCTCAGGGAGGTGCTCCAACAGCTGAGAGCTATACCAAGTTCACTATTCTGATACGGCAGATCCTAGCCCAAGTAAAGAACATGCTTTGGTTGAAGAAACCATCGCCTTTGAAGGGAAACCCATCCAAGAAGGATACCAGTAGATACTGCGAATTCCATGAAAGGCACGGTCATTACACAAATGATTGCTTCGCCTGGAAAAAGCACCTCGAAGAACTGGTCGAAGATGGCCATTGCACGGAATTCGTCGCAAGTAGGGCTATCCAGAAAATCAAAGATCGTGAGGCAGGTGCCAATGAACCTCCACGAAAAAAGTCATACGGATCAGCACGATCCTAGCCGACTTTAAGAGCTCGAGCTGACCATCGAGGAGCAGGAGAGAAAGATCATGCAAGCGACAAGCGCAAGTCTCCCAAGTTGTCACCTGCTACCCGATCATGGAAGACGATATCGACATCATCTTTTAAGGGAAGGAAGTTCCAAGACAACGAAATGCCCATCACCTCCGAAGGTACTATCCATGAAGCTCCTCGCCTATCAGCTCGACTCTAAGCAGGTGGCCAGGCCTTCCTCACCTTCATTGAAGACAAGTTACTTTTGATGTTACCCTTGCAACTCATCTCTTTTGTTCAATAAAGCAATGTAGTCACACAAACATCAATACAAATTCAAGCTTTTCTTTCCAATAGAGTGTTCACAAATGCAATCAACACGTCTCTGGACGTAGGCCAAACAGGCCACTCTCATCGACACGTCTCCAGACGTAGGCCAAACGGGCCACACACCAATCGACACGTCTCTAGACGTAGGCCAAACGGGCCACCCTCATCGACACGTCTCTAGACGTAGGCCAAACGGGCCACCCTCATCGACACGTCTTCGGACGTAGGCCAAACGGGCCACACTCATCGACACGTCTCCGGAAGTAGGCCAAACGGGCCACCTTTATCGACACGTCTCTGGACGTAGGCTAAACGGGCCACACTCATCGACATGTCTTCAGACGTAGGCCAAACAAGCCACCCTCATCGACACGTCTCTAGACGTAGGCCAAAGGGCCACCCTCATCGACACGTCTCTAGACGCAGGCCAAACGCGCCACACTCATCGACACGTCTTCAGACGTAGGTTGAACGGGTCACCCTCATCGACACATCTCCGGACTTAGGCCAAACGGGCCACCCTCATCGACACGTCTCCTAGTGTAGGTCAAATGGGCCACTTCCATCGACAAGTCTCCGGACATTGACCAAACATGCCGCAACTTGAGGAAAGACATCCTACTGGATATGCAGAACATGCCCGGAGTCCCTTAAGGGGGACTCTGGCACTCATAAATTTCCTAAGGGAAACACATAATTGGCTGGTTACTCAAGCAGTTCACAAGTCGATATACAAATTGAAGTTGAAAAAATAACTAAATTTTCATAGCAAGCTGACCAACCGGCCAAGTTCAACAAAAGGAAGATGGTCAAAAAAGACCAATTATTCTAACCAAGAAAGCAGACTACAAAAGATGAAAAGAAATAAAGAAAACTTCATCTACTCCGAGGCGCCAGCAGGAGACCTCTAAGTTACAGCCTCTTTGACATTCGCCTGATCAGTTATGCCTTCAGCATCCTGATCTGCCTGCTCCATAGCATCTGCCATCATCTCATCTACTGCATCCACTCTTGTGCTCAAAACGGAAGTATACATCTTTTTGACTAACCAAGCCAGTGGTAAAAGATGGGGCAACAACAGACGAGTTTCAAATAGTTTCAGCAACAAGAACCACTCCTTTTTCAAGCAGATGAAATGTGGCTTCCCTTTGTTTTTCCAAGGAAAGGCTCGAGAATGTGCCAAGATCGCCGGCCTGACAGATGTGATCGACCAACTCAGCAAAGAAGGACAGGTGTTATACGAAGTTCGTCTTGAGCAGATCAGACACATACGCATCCCCTACAGGGCTAGACTTGTTCGCCTTCGGATCAACCGCTGACGCTGAATAAGAACTCTTCGCCCAAGCAAATGACTCTCTCATCTTCTTAGCCTCCGTCAACCTCACTTCCAAAGAAGTCAATGATACTGAATCAACTCCACGCTTGACTGCCCGTGACTCAACAGCTGGATAATGAGCAAACCTCCCGCTTCGATCTCCATATTTTGACCGTGCTGACGACTCGAACTTCGAGGAGGAATGTCTGCATCTCTTTGACGCTCGGCAGAACTAGATCGGGCACAAGTTGCCTCACGATGCAGATCATGGTATTCAAGCTTGTCAGCAGGAGGCTAGGGCAGAATACCCCAAACATCGTTTATACCACCAACCTTCGTGCTATCTGCGCCCACGAGATGTTTGGCCCTGGCAGATGATCGTGGAGCAAACCCCACTTGAGTCTTCTCAGCAGAAGGGAACCTTGGCTTCTTCCTCAACAGAGACACATTCTCTACCTGCGAATGAGTAGCTTCATCTCTTGAAGACTTGGCAGCAACCTTTCCCTTTGGGGGAGATTCAGCAGGACACTCCTCCTGCCCAACTAGCAGATCATCAGAATCTGGACCATTCTGCTCACATCTCTTAACATCCAGAGTAGGGGGCAGACCACCACTTCCTCCACTCGGGAGCCCAGGTCCACAAAGGAAGCCCAGTTACAGCTGGACAGCCTAATGGATAATCTACATCTCCTACATGCCACCACGCGTCATGCAGAACCTGGGGGGCATTTGTGGGAACCGAATTAAATCAGACCTTAGGTCAAATGATTCCTTCCATTTGGGGATTATTTGACCTAATTGGGAATTATTCAACCTAATTGGGAGTTACTCAATTTAATTGGGGATTACCCAATTAAATGGAACGTTACCTAATTAGGTTGAGAATTGATTTGATTCCTACCACAATTGGGGATTTGATTTACACTAATAAATCAAATCTCTAATTAATCAAATCAATTCCAAATAGGGGAGGAATAATTCCCTTCCATCTATGGAATTATTCCTCTGCAACCCTAGTCTCTAAGACTACTATAAAAGGATAGCCACACAAAAGGGTTGAGGTATGTCTAAAACCTCTACTGAAACTCTGCAGAAAATTCCTCTCAAACCCTAGCCATCTCTTCTCTCTCTCTCTCTCTCTCTCTCTCTCTCTCTCTCTCTCTCTCTCCTCTCTCTCTCTCTCTCTCTCTCTCTCTCTTTTACATAAGGCTCCTGTCGCCCGGTTTACACCTTAAACACATCTCCGTACCCTAATTAGCTAGTGTTTCTTTTACAAACTCTTGAACTAATTTAGGCATCGGAGGGCTTTTGGCCAACACCCCCCCGGTGTGGCCCTCTTATTTCTTCTATTTTGCAGGGAGAAAGAGGAGGCGAGGAAGGAAGAGGAATCTTTGCAACCGAATATTCTCGTGAGGAAATTTGTACAAACAGTTCCTATATAGTAAAGTAGTAAATTTAATATCCCATGGTGCCATCAGTAATATTGTATAACTTAAGCCATTTGCTTCTTGTCAAATCATCCTTTCTTGCAATATTTGGTGTTCATTCAGTAAGCTTTCAGTCTGTGATTTCAGTCGTCTCCCTCTCCCTGCATGTCTTTAATTTTTGTGAATTCACAAATTGCTACAGACGTAGGTTCTCCTCCTGTAGAGCAAGCACCCAATGTTTCTCAACCAGCAATAGTTCAAGCAGTTCCCACACCTTCCCTAGAGCCTCGAAGCATGTCAACAAGACCCATTTGGGAAGCTCCTCTACACACAAAGAAAATGCCAACCTTGAAGAAATTTAGACTGAGCAAAGAACTGGGTTAGGAAAGAGTGAAGGATAACGTCAATATTGTGACCTTTGGGAACTATGCATTCATGGATTTTATCCTGACTTGGGTTAAACACTTGATTGATCTGGGGCTTTCTAACCTTCTCATTGGTAAGCTACCCACATTCTGGGTTGTGCACTTTTATGTCTTTTTGACCTTTTCAATTAATTTAAATATCTATTCCACTTCCCTGTAAGGAAACATATGTTTTTGTATTTCTATTTATGTCTGCACTTATGAGTTTGAAATTGATGGCTTAGGTGCAATGGACACCAAACTGTTGGAGGCTTTGTACTAGAAAGGTGTTCTAGTATTTGATATGGGCAGCCATATGAGCACAATAGATGTTGGATGGGGATCACCAACATTTCACAAGATGGGGAGAGAAAAGGTTATACTGATAGACTCAATCCTCCCTTATGGCTATGAGCTCTTGATGTGCGATACCAACATGGTTTGGTTAAAGGTAGTTTTTGTTTGCGAGATCCTAGCTTAATTAGGATATTTATTTCCTAGTTTATTAGGATTATATTTCTTTCCTTTTTGTACAGATATTGTGTAATCAGGTTTTTATCTTGTTTCCTAGTTTGACCCTACTAGGGTTACATCCTTGTACTATAAATACCTTCTTTTAGAGAATGAAATATAACCTGAAAAATATTTTACCCATATTGTTTGACTTGGCATCAGAGCCTACTTTTCTGGTGACCTGTGTGTTGTGCCCACCCATGTTCTATCCCCTTTTTTTTTCTCTACCTATGTCATGTGTGCCCTCCTAGGTTTCTGTGTCGTGTTTTAGTGTTCGTGCATCTACTATGTTCGTGTCATTCCTGCCTTCGTGCATCTGCTGTATTTGTGCCTTTGTTGTGTTTCGCTGTGTACTCTTCTGTCTTCGTGCCTGTCTTCGTGCATCTGCCGTATTTGTGCCTCTACTGTGTTCCGCTGTATACTCTACCGTAATCTGTTGAATTTCTGCTGCAATTATGGGTGATAACTCCATTGTTGCTGCTGCCTCTACACATTTGTGTGTTTCTAATTATATTTCAGGTACTAGCTCCAATACTTGGATAATTGACACTGGTGCTTCTGATCATATGACTTATGATGTTAAATTTTTTGATGAGTTGTCTAGTAACACCCGTGACCCATACATAACTAATGCTAATGGCTTACCCTCTCCAATTACTGGTGAGGGCACAATCTCTCTCACTCGTACTTTGTCCTTGTCTCGTGCGTTACTAGTTCCCAATATCCATTGTAACTTGTTATCTGTTGGTCGATTACTTGATACGCTTAATGCTTCCGCTACTTTCTATCCTACGCATTGCTCTTTTCAGGATCTCAAGACTCACGAGACGATTGGGCATGGTAAACGGATAAGGGGGTTATATTATTTGACATTGCCTTCTACACCAGTTCGTGATCGTGTCATTAATGTTGTTCAAAGTTGTAGTATCAAAGACAAACAACAAATTTGGTTATGGCATCGTCGCTTGGGACACCCTTCATTTGGCTACCTTAAGCGTCTGTTTCCATCTTTATTCCGCTCTTGTGATGAGTCCAGTTTTACGTGTGAGACATGTATTTGGCCAAGAGTCATCGCACTGTGTATACAAACTCTTAGGCCTCTCCACTAGTAGTGTCTTAGGTTGGATGCATCAACTTTAACAAAGTGCAATCAAATTGGTCACTTACATCAAATTGGTCTTAGCCTATATACCGTGCTGTTTTGCTTATTGGTTTGGTCATAAGGATAAGGCTCTAGAATCTGTCCGCTAAAATAATCAATCAACATTGTGCCAATATTACGCACCTGGTTTGAAATCCATAATTGTTGCTGAACTAATGCATATGGAGTTCATATTCTTCATATTTTGTATTTGTGACTTTCAGGTCATGCCTCCACTGTGGTGCAGGTTGGATAGGCTCTTGTTTCCCCTTGAGGGATCTATCACTCGACAACCTTTTATTTGCCCTCTTCACCATGTATTTGAGGTATGTCCTGTTTGTCGGAGCTAATTTTATATACTTTTGTTTTCTTTGCTTCCTCAATAGACAATATTGCTCAGAAAATTTTCGTTGTTAGAGGTTGACATCCATTGGGACAAGTTCCTATTAAAGCAGTTGTTGTACTTAAACAGCAGGATATCAGTTACATTCTCGACGTCAAGACAGCTGATAGACAAATTCATGGCTTTTGCCACTAGAGTTTAGTTTTTGAAGTAGCGAGTGAATTATAATGTCATTGGAGAAAAATAATGATCATAATATTAACTTGGTCATCCTTGCTATGGTCTAAATTAGAAATTTAGCCTTCCTCCCCTATTTAAATTTCTGATGCAGTCTGTTGACCAGTGTTTGTGCTGATTATTTAGATGTCACTACCCTGGTTGAAAACCTATAAGGAGTACTAGAAATGTCAGTTAAATTTTCTGATTGAAATTGATTATGATCTTCTATTCGCCATTCTTGAGCATGATTAGTTGCAAAGGGGGTTTTCCTAGAGGGTATGGATTCTGGAAGTGCCTTTTCCTTGTCATTTGTGTCTTGTTGGATGTAGTCCGGCACCCTCATGATGGTTTAGGGGTGATGCTTCCCTTGGATTTTCCTCAATTACACAAAATTTGACTCCGATAGGAAACTAAGCATGGCCACATGATTTTTGGTATGATTCCCTGAAAATGTGTGCTGAATAGATGATGTGACCCTTGTTTCTTTCATTCTTAGTCTCCACTTTTTATGGAGGAAACCACAATATGAGGGATGTATGGTATTTTTCACAAATTATTTTTCATGGAAACCTAAAAATCATCGTGCTGCATGCAAATGCTTCATCTTCTCTAAAAATTAATGAGTTTTTGTTACTGAGGAAACCACATAAAAGAAAGAATAAGTGTCATGAAGCAAACCCCAAGGACAATACGAATTTGACAATCTAACCACAAGTATTGTGTGCGTAATTTTATTTTTCTTTTCTTTATCTATCCTATCCGTGGACAAAGCTGAAATACAAAATATACTGGAAAAAGGTTTGCCTAGAGAAAAACAGGCAGTAAGAAGAGGATGTCAGTTATATTGTTTTCCCTACAGCTACCTCAGAACAGTCGATTTTCTCTTTTTTGCTTTTGTTTTACCTCTTTTTCTTTCATCCATGCCCTCCTTAGGTTATGTAAGTTTATGTAGGTTTTAAATTTGAGGGCATTTTTGTCTATTTAAGTGAGTTTTTTGCTATATTTGAACTTTTTTACAAAAACTGACATTTTTGAAATTAAGGGTCAAGTTTTGGCTATTTTTTTAAATTCTCACAATAAGATGCACACAATTCCTTCCCAAAATTAAATCTATACAGCACTGGTTCGCTATAGGCAATTAAAAAAACAGCTTAATTGGTACACAGAAGGTGATATACAAACACAATTGATGCATATATAAAAACAAAAGACCTAATTGCACAAGACTTGGAAAGAGCCTCAAATGCACAAGACTCAGCCTCAGCCTATACAATCAAACTCTCCCAGAAGGCCCAATTGCCCAAAGCCTACCCAATAAGAGAAAAAAACAACCCAAAACAAAACGTCAACGAAACCCAATATTTGTGACTAATTATATTGACAAATTCCATGTCAAAAAGGAAGAAAATTTCAGATCAAAAGAGGAAAAAAAAAGAACAGAGAACTGAAGAAAGCGAGAATAAGAAAACACAGGTCGTCTTGTGCGGTTTTTGAATTGTGAAAACTTAATAGAATCAAACATGGAAATCCCAAAACTTAATTCAAACAGAAATGCCCACATCAACCAATGAGTTAGATTCAGAAAAAAGTTTTAGAAAGTAAACCGTGAAGCAGCCAAATCAATGGAGTTCAAATGTTGGAATCAAACATGGAAATCGAGAAAAATAAAACTTGAATGGATAAGAAAATGGAGAAAAAAAGGCTACCTAGCAACAATGACTAAAATCACAGCGGACACGGAGGGGGCGTTGAAACCATGGTGGAGAAAGCAAATAAGAGAGAGATTCAGAAAAGAGTAGAGACGAAAGCAAAGGAGGCTGAGGGAGAGAAAAGCCCACGTCGAAGCCAGCCCACCAAACAGCCTTAAGGGATTGAGAATGGGAGTAGGAAAGGCAATGAAATGGAATTAAACAAAGAATAGAATCTAGTACATAGTTTGGTTGGGAATTAGGATGGAATGGAATTAGTTCCGTTGTTTGCTTTTGCGTTTGTAATGGGATGCAATAAACCGTAAAATAAAAGTAAATAGGAAAAAGTACAAATGAACCAAATTCAGATGATTCTAAACAAGTGGAAGCACTTATAACTTGCAAGACACAAAATGAAATGAAAACAAGAAAAAAAGGAGAGAAGTATAGCAAATCTTAGTCTCTGATTGAGCTACTCAGTAATAAACATACCAAAGGAACATCATCTCAATTTAAATTCAAGTTCAAGACTCTCTTGTGCATTTCTGGATCATTTCGTTTATCCTTTTAATTGTTGAAAATTTGCCAATCTGTTGTCTGTTTCTATGCACTTCTTGCTTTCAAATTAGGTTGCCATACTACCTGTAACAGTGAATCACAATCTTCTAATAGTTGTTTCTACCCGATTAGTGTTTTTATTCAGTTATTTTCAGGTGAGATACAGCTGCTTTAGAACATCAATTTTTTCTCACTGACCACCAATTCGTGTTTGTAAAGCAGCTCTAATTATCCCATAAATTAAAATCTTAATTGTATGTCCGTGAGCATAAATTCCATAAGAAAACCAACAAACCCCTTCATAATCCACATCCAGATCAGATGTGAATTTAAGAAAACAGAGGAACCAAATCTAATCATTCCCAAAACCAATACACCGGAATGAAAAACTTGAGGAGCTGATGGACAAAATAATAATAAGAATAATACTAATCAAACAACACCTTAAATTATACCCCAAAATTAAACCTGAGAAATAAAATGTTGATTTAAAAAATCTGCAACTAAAAGAATATTAGACGATTACCTGGGGTCAGCGAAGCTCTGAGGCTTATTAGAAGCAGAATTGAAATTAGAAAATGAGAAGAACTAGGAGAGTGAACGGCGCCACGGGACAGAGAAGGGTGGAAAACAGAAAAATTATACACGCACCCATTGATATATTCAGTGCACCCATAAAATTCTAAAATACCCAATTTTACAGTGAACTGAAAAGCCGGCCAGCCATGGCGGCACCACAAATCGAAACCAGTTGGCCAAAACACTCTCTTCTTCTGCTACTGTGTCTCTCTAAATTGGGCTCCACAAAGATAAATTGCAGCTCTCAGAATTTTCATATGGGACTACAATCTTTGCTTTCTTCTGTAGAAAAGGTGGGGACTTGCCTCCCAAAGTGGGACCCTTGCGGTTTTCCTTAAAGTCTCCACCTTTACCTTGGCCATACGTTCTTTGATTCTTTTTCAGGTATGTCTGTCTTGTTCTAGTAATGAATTTATTCTTGTGTAAATTTAATTTAGCACTGTGATTTTATTTAATTTACCAATTTATAACAGCATTGTTTGCAATGTGCTCAAGCTTTTTTCTCCCTTACTCTTGTGACTTGCTCTCGTGTCCATTTTAGGAAACTTCCTTGATGGGTCATAATTAGTTTGTTACACTAAATCGTTTGTTAGTTAGTCTTGGTTTAATCTCTGTAACTAATCTGATACGGCTGTATTTATTTGGCAGCTCATCGTTGTATTTTAGTATAAAGCTTGTACAAACCGTGTGGAAGATATCATTAGCTAGGGACTTGAAAGTGAAAAACCGTGTAGGCCACCTGCGATTTTCCAGGAAGCTCTCTCCTTTCCATTATTGTCTTTACTAAAACCTCTTCTCCACCAATTCCATAACACTATAGCATCTTCTTCTCATTGTTTTCAGTTTGGGCGGGATCCGTCTTAGAAAGTTCCTTTCCTTTTCTATGTAAATTACTCAGTTTTCTCAGTAACCAAATAGAGGTATTTATGTCTCAAAGAAAAGCACGCACTTATTAGCTGTGGAAAGTGAGAGAGCAACAACTGGTTTCCTGGTTTGCAAATACTCGTCGTGGAGATCAGTCTTCTTCTGACCCATCTTTAACACCTAGTAGTAATCTTTACAGACCCTCCTTGAGTTTCAGGGATGAGGGCTATTTCAGAATCGGCAGAGTGGATATTTTTAGCCACTAACCTTGGCCTAGAGATCTTGTCAGCTGCTTGTGATCAGGCTTCCTCCCCAAGAAGACCCCACTTTGCACGATTTGGTATGCTGTTGGCTATTGCAGCTGTGTTCATTTCCATCGGGGAGCTAATTTACAGAGGTAAAAGGGAAAGAGTTGTGTTGAGGAGATGCGGAATGCTCTGGTGGTTTTATCATCCACCACCTTCTCAACATACGCCTTTTGGTACGCTTCCTGACATTTATGGACTAGTTGCTGGCATCTCACAGTGCATTTGCTCTATAGTTCAGTATGTTTACTGCCTTCGGCATGCTGATAGTCCTTTCAAAGCATCCCTTTTGCCTGCCATATTTCTTATGTGTTTAGGTGGTTCAAGACTAAGTAATAAGCGAATGAACGCCAATACCACTGAAAAGAAGGACTCGTGGGAACATTTTAGGTGATTTTCTCTGTCATGATTTACTTTACTTTTAGGATGATGCGTCAACTTTTAAATCCCTTATATTAAATTTTAATAGCAGAGAAATCAAAATAGAGGATTTAGATCACATGGCAGACAAAATCAAAGCAGAGAATCCAAATCCTGGGGATGAGAATCACGTACCTACCGAACAGACAAAATATATTTATGGGTTTTATGATCCAAATCTATCATCAATGTTTTTTCATCAGTTGCTTTTATTATCTTCTTACCAATCAGACAAAATATATTTGAAAGTTCCTTAATGCCTGATAATATTACAATAATACATGTTTATTTCCCTTAACATTTATCTTTTAAATCAATTATAATGAGTAATTAAATAATCTTATGCATTTATATTTTTCCTTAGTCAAATTAGTTTATAATTCACAACTTGAAAGTTTATTCAGTCTCTATGGGAACGACCTTATACTTGCCTTGGCTACATTGCATTAACCTTGTGCACTTGCAAGTTTATTTCTTGAATTTAACTATCTAATTTTCATGTAGTAAAATTATACATCATTGACCCAAAGGAAATAGCAACTGCATCAAACTCATATATGGTTACTGCAACATTAGTGACCCAGCAGCCCAATAAAGTAAACCAAGGCTGGGTAATAAAAATTAGCAAGTCTATTAACATGTTGGATAGAATTTTATCAGGTAACACAGATGAAGCATGGACATTCATATCATTAAGGCTAGATAATAGAAATTAGCAATGATCTGAATGAACTCAATGGAGCTACCAGCACATTCCCAACAATCAGATGCATACAATTCCTTCCCAAAATTAAATCTATACGGCACTGATTCACTATAGGCAGTTAAAAAACAGCTTAATTGGTACACAGAAGGTGATATACAAACACAATTGATGCATATATAAAAGCAAAAGACCCAAATGCACAAGACTTGGAAAACCAACAAACCCCGTCATAATCCACAGCCAAATCAGACGTGCATTTGAGAAAATAGAGGAACCAAATCTAATCATTTCCAAAACCAATAAACCGCGATGAAAAACTTGAGGAGCTGATGCACAAAATAATAATAATACTAATCAAACAACACCTTAAATTATACCCCAAAATTAAACCTGAGAAATAAAATGTTGATTTAAAAAATCTGCAACTAAAAGAAGATTAGACGATTACCTGGGGTCAGCGAAGCTCTGAGGCTTATTAGAAGCAGAATTGAAATTAGAAAATGAGAAGAACTAGGAGAGTGAACGGCGCCACGGGACAGAGAAGGGTGGAAAACAGAAAAATTATACACGCACCCATTGATATATTCAGTGCACCCATAAAATTCTGAAAACCCAACTTTACAGTGAACTGAAAAGCCGGCCAGCCATGGCGGCACCACAAATCGAAACCAGTTGGTCAAAACACTCTCTTCTTCTGCTACTGCGTCTCTCTAAATTGGGCTCCACAAAGATGAATTGCAGCTCTCTGAATTTTCATATGGGACAACAAGCTTTTCTTTCTTCTGTGGAAAAGGAGGGGACCTTGTCGGCCACCTTGGATAGAATTTTCCACCACACTGCGATTTTCCAAGAAGCTCTCTCCTTTCCGTTATTGCCTTTACTAAAACCTTCTTCTCATTGTTTTTCAGTTTGGGCGGGGTGGAAATCAGATAATTAAAGAAAGAAAGCAGAGGATCCGTCTTGGAAAGCTCCTTTCTTTTTCTATGTAAATTTCTCCGTTTTCTCAGTAACCAAACAGAGGTATTTATGTCTCAAAGAAAAGCACTGGCTTATTAGCTGCGGAAATTGAGAGAGCAACAACTGGTTTCCTGGTTTGCAAATACTCGTCGTGGAGATCAGTCTTCTTCTGACCCATCTTTAACACCTAATAGTAATCTTTACAGACTCTCCTTGAGTTTCAGGGATGAGGGCTACTTCAGAATCAGCAGAGTGGAAATTTTTAGCCACTAACCTTGGCCTAGAGATCTTGTCAGCTGCTTGTGATCAGGCTTCCTCCCCAAGAAGACCCCACTATGCACTATTTGGTGTGCTGTTGGCTATTGCAGCTGTGTTCATTTTCATCGGGGAGCGAATTTACAGAGGTAAAAGGGAAAGAGTTGTGTTGAGGAGATGGGGAATGCTCTGGTGGTTTTATCATCCACCACCTCCTCGACATACGCCTTTTGGTACTCTTCCTGACATTTATGGACTAGTTGCTGGCATCTCACAGTGCATTTGCTCTATAGTTTAGTATGTTTACTGCCTTCGGCATGCTGATAGTCCTTTGAAAGCATCCCTTTTGCCTGCCATATTTCTTATGTGTTTAGTTGGTTCAAGACTAAGTAATAAGCGAATGAACGCCATTACCACTGATAACATGAACTCGTGGGAAAATTCTTCAAGGTAAACACGAATTACGCTGCTCATATGCTGCTTAATTAATTTTCATATTAAATCTTTGAGCTTGTCCAATCTAGGTCCCTACAATTTCTATTTCCTAAACATATACCCATTATTCTATAAATCTATGTGTAAAACCCAACTTCAAACTTAAATGACCAGTAGGATATAAGAGGTCGTAGTATTCCTATGTTTTTACATCCTTGCCATCAGACTTCATATTTTATTTATAATTTATTCCTAGCATTTCATTAACTACCATAATTGTAATTAAAACTCCCTATTAATAGCATATCAATCACCCCATTTCTTTTGGTTGTCATTCCCTATAACATATGGCCCCTTAAAATTGAAAATAAAAAATATATGTAAATTACATATCCAATAATGTACATATGAAAAATATAAATATAAATATATACGTATAAATATATAGGTATATTATTTACCAAAAAAATTTAACAAAAATAGGTCAATTACTTTGTAATTGAAATTTCCATACATTTTTCATAAATTAAAAATAAGTACATAATAATTTATAGAAAATAGGTACATTGTATAATTGAAATTTATGCACATTTTTTATAAATTAAAAATAGGTACATTACTTAGAAGAAAAAAAATAATTTCATTATACTAGGTAAATTGTTTTACTGGGTATACATTATTAGAGAAAAAAAAAGGTACATTATTTAGAGAAAAAAAAAGGTTCATTATACCAGGTAAATTGTTTAGGGAAAAAAATAGGTACATTATTTAGAAAAAAAAATATGTACATTATTAGAGAAAAAGAAATAGGTACATTATTTTGAGAGAAAAAAATTAAAAATAGGTACATTACTTTGAGAGAAAGAATAGGTACATTATTTAGAAAAAAAAATAGGTACATTATTAGAGAAAAAAAAATAGGTACATTATTTGAGGGGAAAAAATAGGTTCATTATACTAGGTAAATTGTTTAGGGGAAAAAAATAGGTACATTATTTTGAGAGAAAAAATAGGCTCATTTAAAAAAAAAAAATTCATAAAACAAACAATAAAAAGATGATCAAATTATTTTTTATAAAACAAGTAATAAAGAAAAAAAAAAAGTACAATATTTGGAGAAAAAATAGGTTCATTAAAAAAACAGTTTTAAAAACAAAACAATAAATAGATTATCAAAATTATTTTTCAACATAATTAGAATGTACACTATTATTCATAAAATAAAAATAAAAAAGAATACTGGTCGTATAATTCATAAAAAGAAACAACATTAATTCCTAAATTTAATATTGAATTTAAATTATTAATACTTTAAATAGATTACTAGTCGTAATTCATAGAAGGAAAACACCATTAATTCAAAAATAGATTACTAGTCGTAAAATAGATTACTAATACTGTAATGTGGAATTTAATATTTAATTTCAAATATCTAAATTAGTTCCTACATCCATTACAACTATTTGGAGATATTTCCAAATTCAACGGGTGTCATTAGTACACCCCCTATAACACATTAACTTATAAATATGGGTAGTTTTGGAATCCGAAAAATACAATAAATCAGATTTTAAGTTATATTAGGTAACTTGCTTAGTTGGATCCTAGTCATTGGGTATTATTTGAAAAAATTGGGTATTTTACATAGAAAACTAAAGGAAAGGGTTGTAGGTAATTTAAAATGAATTTTATGGGTTTAAGCTCAATTTACTATTATATCTATCCATACTAGGTAATTATGTTTTTCATAAAACAAACAAGTAATAGGTACATTATTTTTTCAACATAATTAGTATGTACGGTTTTATTCATAAAAAATTATAAAGTGGATTATTAGTCATGTATATTCATAAAAAGAAAATAACATAAGCATTTTATTAAACAAACCGATTACCTAAATTTGAATTATTGTTAAATTTTTTTAAAAATGTTTCAAAATTAATTCCTACATCCATTACAACCATTTGGAGATCTTTCCAAATTCAACATCTGTCACTATATACAATCCAATTAATAAATGTTTCCATATTGATTCCTACATTAATATACAAAATTCAATAATGGCTTAGTTGGGGGTATTTTTGGAATCTGAAAAGTACAATAAATCAGATTTTATGCTTAATTAGGTAACTTGCTGAGTTGGATCCTAGTCATGGGTTTTTACTTATATAAATTGGGTATTATTTATAGGAACAAAAAGTGAAGGGTTTTAGGTACGGCAAATTGAATTTGAAGGGTGTAAGCCAAATTTACTATAAATTTTTTGCAACTTTTTAGTCTGAGATAATACAAAAGGAAAGCTTCTTCTTCTTTATTTATTTAGTTTTGGAAGGAGACGAGATGGAAATTTTAAGAAATAATTATGGGAGATTTTATTGGATATCATATCACATGGGAATTCTACTTTATTTCAATAAGCACAAACTGTAAGACTAAAGTGCGAGCGGATAGAGAGAGAGAGAGTGGCTAATTAAGCTAGCTCTCTATCTTTAATAAACAAGACAGTCGTAAAAGATTGCTTTCTTTTCTCTGTTTGCTTTTTCA